TTTTTAGAGAGATTTTTGCCATAGGGCATGTGAGCTCGCCAGGCAGACAGAGAGAGACAGAGAGACAGAAAGTGAGAAATCACTCCCCAGGGGGGATGGTCATGCCGCAATCCCTTCTCCTCCATTCTCCTTTCAGGATCTTGGGCATGCACACACACACACCCGGCGTGAGTTTAAGCCACCAGGTCCGGGATGTGAACTGCAGTCGACTACATGGGAGTCCAGCGACATAGCCACCACACTAACTGCAGGTCCCCTTAACGTGAGTTTTCTTTGAACAAAAGTTTCATGAAACCCTGTCTACTATAGTAAGTTAACTGGATTTCTAAAAAGTTACATTAATTCAAACTGTCGAATTCTCCACTTACATTTATTTTTGTTTTTTGCTATAGTGTGAGTGTGCTCATCAGAGACAGACAGAGAGGTAGAGAAAGTAAGAAAGCACCCTCTGGGGCAGATGACTATGCCACAATCTCTTCTCCCTTTTCTCTTGGGATTTTGGGCATATACATACACACACCTGGTGTGATTTTTCAGTTGCCAGATCTGGGACTCTAACCACACAGTCAACCATGTGATAGGGTATGTGTGCTCACCAGAAAGACAGAAAGCAAGAAATCATCCCCCAAGGGTTTGGCCATGCGTCAATCCCTTCTCCTCCATTCTCCTCTCAGGATTTTGGGCACACATGCACACATGCATGGCATGAGTTTTGTTTAAGCTGCTGGGTCTGGGACTTGAATTGCAGTTGACTACATGAGAGTCCAGCGATGTAACCATTATGCCATCTGCTGGTCCAAAGGTTTATTTATTTTGCTTTAGAGCATGTGGGCTTGCCAGGGAGAGAGAGACAGAGAGACAGAGATGGTGAGAGGTAAATTGAGAAATCACTCCTTGGGGGAAGGGCCAGGCCACAATCCCTTCTCCTCCATTCTCCTCCCTGGATCTTGGGGGCACATGCACACTAGCTCAGTGTGCTCTTCAATCCAGCAGGTCTGGGACTCGAACCACGGTAGGCCATGTGAGAGTCCAGTGACATTAATTGCTACACCATCTGCTGGCCCTCAGGCATGTATTAAAACATAACTATGTGGCACCAGCAGATGGCGAAACAGCTACATCACTGAACTCCCACATGGCCAATCATGGTTTGAGTCCTGGACCAGTGGTTTCAAACTTACTCCAGGCATATGTGTGTGCATTCCCAAGATCCCAGGAGAAGTGAGAAGGGACTGCAGCATGGCCATTCCCCACAAGAGATGATTTCTTGCTTTCTGTGTCTTTGGTGAGCGCAGAGAGAAATGAAAATGTTCGTTTTAAGTATATGCATTGTCAATTATATCTGCATTAAACTGTTGTTTTAAAAGAATTATTTTATTTAACTTTTAGATTGGTCAGAAAGGGACAGAGTGAGAAAGAGAGAGAGGGAGAAAAGGCAAGAAAGCAAGCCACCGGGTCCAGGACTCAAATTGCAGTAGGCCACGTGAGAGTCCAGTGCCTTTAACCACATCACTTGCTGGCCCTTGTTTTTTAAAAAATGCTGAAATTTTGTCACCAGTTACCAGATCAGTATGGCAGAAATAGCATGGTATTGGGCCAGCTAGTAGTGCAGTCGTTAAGACAGCTGGATTCTACATGACTGTGAGGTTAAACTCCTGGACCCAGTAGGTTGAAAAATATGTTGGGTGCATGTGCACACATGCCCCAAATCCCAAAAAATGGATTGTAGAATGGCCATCTCTCCTGGGGAGTGCTCTCTCACTTTCCCACTCTTTCTTCCCTGGTAAATACACACACCCTATAGCAAAATTAAAAAACAAAAACAGTATATAGAACAGTGTTTCTGGCAACTCTTCCTAACTTCATGTTCAGTGACATGACAGTTTGAAAATGGCCATGGTACGAGGATTTACAGCAGAGAAATTGACAAACAGCACAGCTTGATTTACTGTATTACTGAATGTGTAGGCCTAAGATAGTGACAAAAAATATGTGAATAATATAAAGTTAAAAGTGTGTGGGACCAGCAGCTAGCGCAATGGCTATGTCACTGGACTCCTACATAGTCGACTGCGGTTCGCGTCCCAGACCCAGTGGCTTAAAACTCACACCAGGCACATGTGCATGCATGCCCAAGATCCCAAGAGGAGAATGGAGAAGGGATTTTGGCGTGGCCATCCCCCCTGGGGGGGGATTTCTCACTTTCTGTCTCTCTCTGTCTGTCTGGCAAGCGCATGCGCCCTACAGACCGTCCACAAAAAAAAAAAAAAACAAAAAGTGGGGAGTATGTGGGACCAGCAGCTGTCATGGAGGTTAAGGTGGTGGACTCCCATATGACTGACTGTGGTTTGAGTCCCAGACCTAGTGGTTTGCTTTCTATCTCTCTCTGGTGAGTGCATGTGGCCTATAACAAATTCAAAAATAGTAATAAATAAAATTAAATAATTTATTTTTTAAGTGTGGGATGTGCATGATCATTATACTGTGCAAAGCACCGAATTCTTTTGGCACAAAAATGAATTTATTGTTAAAAAAGAGACACAATTCATAGGAAAGAAAATACACAAAAGATATGAAGACATTTCATCATTATTATTTTTTAATTTGATACAGACACTCACCAGAGAGAAACAGAGAGTGAAATGGAGAAAGCAAGCCACCCGGTCCAGGACTTGAACTGCAGTTGGCCATGTGTGAATCCAGCACCCAAACTGTCATGCCACTTGCTGGCCCCAAAAGGGTAACTTCTAAAAGATCATACTAGGTTTTAACAAGGATGAGGAAGAACTGGAATTCTCGTAAACTCCTGGTGAATAAGCAAAAGGAAACCACCATTTTAGCTCACTCTGCGGCAGTTTCCTAAGTTAAACATTCACCTATCATGTGTCAAGAATTGCACTTTCAGTTTAACACAAGAGAAGTGAAACATGGAGTAGAAACATATATATGCCTAAAGAGAGAAAAATTAAACAATAAACATACAAAGAAATGGATACATTTGTAGTTTTATTTCCAACAGCCTCAAACCATAAATAACCTAACTGCCTATAAATAAAGGAAAAAATAAACAAATGATATATGCAGAAAAGTTAATAAAGTGAATTCATATAAACATTATTGGAGAATCTCAAAAAATCTGAATGAAATTGATTAAAACTATTAAAAACATTTTATACACCAAATCATTTAAGTTCTACAGAATACAAGATAATCTATTATAAATGAAGGTAAATGGTTACCTGGAGGGTTGGGGAAGGGATAAAAAGATTAGAAAAATGGAAGCAAATTAGGAGTGACTGATTTGCCTATTGTAATGATGGCTTAATGAACTTATTACCAGATTTGGTAACTCCATATTAACTCATCTCTTTCCTGATGACTTTCGAGGGTCAATCCCGACTCAGTGGCAGCAAACACTGGTAAACAATCAAGTCATTTCTATAGGATGGCTCGGTCCCAAAGCCACATTGCTCAACTCATCAGCCTTCTCCTTGTTTATTTTCCTGGCCTGTGCATCAGTGGCTTCATGGTAAAGGAAAGGCTACTAAAATATAAAAAATTCTTTTTTTTTTTGAGAGGTTTTTGCTATAGGGCGCGTGCGCTCGCCAGACAGAGAGAGACATAGAGACAGCAAGTGAGAAGTCGCCCCCCAGGGGGGATGGTCACGCCACAATCCCTTCTCCTCCATTCTCCTCTTAGGATATTGGGAACACACGCACACGCACCTGGCGTGAGTTTTAAGCCACCGGGGCCGGGACGCGAACCACGGTCGACTACGTGGGAGTCCAGCGACATAGCCATTATGCTAACTGCTGGTTCCCAAAATATAAAAAATTCTTACCTAATTTTTATTTATTTTTTTAAAGAGATTTTTGTTATAGGGCACGTGTGTTTACCAGCAAGACAGGAAGCAAGCAATCACTCTCCAGGGGAGATGGCCACACCTCAATCCCTTCTTCACTCTCCTTGGGATTTTGGGGGCACACACGCATGTGCCCAGTGTTTTAAGCGTTTGGGTCTGGAACTTGAACCACAGTCAACTATGTGGTTCCCCGCTGGTCCTTTAATCTTATGATAGTAGCCTACTGAATTATGGGTCTCAGGTGCGTTGTTTTTTTTTGTTGGTGGTAGTGGGACATGGGGTAGAGATTGCTTTCAACAGTTCCAAGCATCATGTGATATCCCTTGTAAGCCCAAAAACAAAATTCATGTTATACCCTGAAGTACTGGAGGTTGTCACAACTTGTTGCTGCCTCAGGATGCCATTCAAGCCCACAAAAAGGTTCTGGTTATCTAGTCCACAAAATAAGAGGAAAAAACTATGCAATTTTCCTAGGATACCCTGGATAAAAATGAACTAGTCCAAAACTGGGAAACTATATTCTTCCATCATACTATCATTTCTGATGTACAAAAATTGTATCCTCTGCTAAAATCTATTTACTCTGTAATACTAGGAAGGTGCAGTTGTTCATAAAGCACCTCGCAGGGCCAGCAGGTAGTGCAGTGATTAAGATGTTGGACTCTCACACAGTTGACCACAGTTTAGATCTCAGACATAGCAGCTTAAAAGTCATGCCAAGCATGTGTGCATGTTCTGTCCAAAATCCCAAGAGGAGAGTGGATAAGGGATTGTGGCATAGCTGTCCTCCTGTGGGGGTGATTTCTTGCTTTGTCTTTCTCTCTCCCTCTGGTGAACTCACATGCCCTACAGCAAAAATAAAAGCACCTCACACAGTGAACAGAAGGTAGCTTAAACAATAGACTTCATTATTGCGAAAGTCAAAATTAACATCAGGCAAGCAATTCCCAAATTTGTGACTTGAGGCTAGGAAAAAAGTCAGTATCACATATTACAAGATTAGCATGTTCCTGAAAAAGTCCTTATCAGCAAGCAGCAGCTCTCTGGTACAACTGGGTGAAGTCCATGTCTTAACTTATGAAGGAAATGAGTGAATAGGGAATCCTCTGATAACTCAAGACTTCTGATTTCCCACAAATGTGAGAGCACCAGGTCAGCTTTATTTGAACAGTGCCATGGTGACTGATAAACTGTGGACCTGACAGGTTGTAGAGGTAAAATGCTTTCTGCCTCAGGAAATGACATATATGACAAGGGTTCTGGGCAAGTTATAAAGTGTAACACATGCCCTTAAAGCTTCCATATACTTGGCATGTAAGTGGAACCTCCTCAATGTGTATCTCCAAATGTTGGGGTGTTTATTCAGGTAGATGACTCTCTTATTCTCTTCCAGTATAATCACACTACAAAAGAAACTGTGTATTCCCTGTACAACTAAGGCCTTTCTCCCTTATGAACTCTCTGATGGTGAATGAGGACAGATTTGCAGCCAAAGAATTTCCCACATTCACTGCACTGATAAGGCCTTTTTCCAATGTGAACTCTCCGGTGCTGAATGAGGCTAGAACTTTGGCTAAAGGCTTTCCCACATTCGCCACACTCATAAGGCCTTTCTCCAGTATGAACTCTGAGGTGTTTAATGAGGTTGGACTTGCAGCTAAAGGATTTCCCACATTCACTACACTCAATAGGCCTTTCTCCAGTGTGAACTCTCTGATGGTTCTTAAGATTGGAGCTATGGCTAAAGGATTTCCCACATTCCCTACATACATAAGGCTTTTCCCCTGTATGGACTTTTCGATGTGAACTGAAGCTAGAGCTTTGCTTAAATGATTTCCCACATTTACTACACGTGTAAGGTCTTTCTCCAGTGTGAAGTCTCCGGTGGTGTATGAGACTGGAGCTTCGGCTAAAGGATTTTCCACATTCACTGCACTCATGAGGCCTTTCTCCAGTGTGAACTCTCTGGTGGTAAATGAGGCTGAAGTTTTGGCTAAAAGATTTCCCACATTCGCTGCACTCATAAGGCCTTTCTCCAGTGTGAACTCTACGATGTTGAATGAGGTTGGACCTTTGGCTAAACAATTTCCCACATTCCCCACACTCGTAAGGTCTTTCTCCAGTGTGAACTTTCCTATGGCTATTGAGGCTATAGATCTGACTAAAGCATTTCCCACATTCACTGCACTCATAAGGCCGTTCTCCGGTGTGAACTCTCTGATGTATAATGAAGCTGGAATAGTAAGTAAAGAATTTCCCACATACACTGCATTCATAAGGTCTTTCCTCACTGTGGACCTTCTGGTGCTGAATGAGGTTACATCTTCGTGTGCAGGCTTTTCCACATTTGGTACACTCAAAGAGCCCTTCTCTAGTGAGAATACTCTGGTCCTGAATAAGCACATCTGTGTGACTGAAGGCTTTGTTTTCTCCCCAGTTGTGTTGACTTTTTTTGCTACCAAAGGCCACCCCATACTTATTTGGCTTCTTCCGGATGTAAGTAGCCTGTTGATGGAGAAATCTCATACTGGTTAGGAAGCCCTTTTTAACCTCCCTGTAGGTAAAAGGCTTCCTTGACACATGTATTGTGCAACTTTTTATAAATGAGTCTGTATCCTCATAACTTTTGAAGGGTATCTCTCTAATATGCCGGTGCTGTGGAAGGTTTGCTGTGAAGCAGGATTGTTTCTCGCATGTACAAGGTTTCTGTCTGTGATGTCTGTGATGACCAGCCAAGTCCAAACAGTCTCTCAAGACCAGGCCACATATTTCACAGGGGCATGCATTCAGGGAAGATGAACCTTCTCTGAGAGCCCTGACTTGTGACCCTCCTTGTAAAGAAATGCTCTGTTCAGAAGGTGCCTCATCAAGGTCCACTTCACGCCAACAACCTGAAAGCACAAAAATAATGGTGAAATACACGTTGTCTTTAATAAGGAAGGGCACTGTATACATCAGAGCAAAGAACCAGCCCATGAGAATGTCTTCAGGAAAAGGTTGGTGGGGTCAAATTGAGGAAGCAGCTGCTGCTGTTGCATTAGTGGGTTCCTAAGGTTTCAGAATGAGGTAGGCCTCAATAGACACAGTACCCAGTGGAAGATATGGCCTAGGGTTAAGAGACTGGTGCTACAGTTCATTTATCTGCCAATGGCTTTTAGTTGGAAAATATCTTCTACTGACATGCAGATGATGTGTGATGCTGTGAGGTGATGTGTATGTGAAGTACATGTCTAGGCTCAGGAAACTGTAACTGGAACACTAATTGGTGTTCAAGGGTGATTAAAGAATATATGCACTCTTAGGTGAGCAGGTGGCATGGACGTTAAAGTGGCTGGATCCCACATGACCACCTGCATGGTGTGAATCCCGGACCTAGCAGCTTGAAAAACATGCCAGGTGCATGTGCATGTATACCCAAAATCTTGAGAGAAGAATGGAGGAGAAGAGACTGGGGTATGGCCAAGATTTCTTACTTTCGCTCTCTCTCTTTGCAGTAAGCGCACATGTCCTATATCAAAAACTAAAAAACACAAATCAAAAACTAAAAAAAAAAAAAAAAAAAAAGAATGGAGGAGGGAAGGTAAAAGTGAGGTACCACTGGCAAAGGTACCAAAACATAGGTCAAACAGGGCAGGTCCTTCACATGAATTGAACACAAATACGACTGAGGTGATATAAGTCCTATAGAAAGACGGGACATCTTAGCAGGTAACACTGGTCCAGAATAACTCAGCACACAACAAACAGAGCACAGGAGTTAAGCTGGTACAAACTCAAATTCAAGTGTTACAACTTTAGAATGAAAAAATGCCAAAAATAAAAATAAAAATAAAAAACAACAAAAATAAAACCTACAGAAATTATACAAAAGCGGGACCAGCAGTTGGCATAATGGCTATGTTGCTGGACTCCCATGTAGTCAACTGTGGTTTGAGTCCTGGACCCAGTGGCTTCAACTCACACCAGGCATGTGTGCATGTGGGCCCAAGATCCCAAGAGGAGAATGGAGGAAAAGGGATTGCGGTGTGGCCATCTCCCCTAGGGGGTGATATCTCACTTTTTGTTTCTCTGTCTGTCTTTCTGGCAAGCGCATATACCCTATCACAAAAACTGCTCAAAAAAAAAAAAAAAAAGAAAGAAAAAAGAAAAAAGAAAATATACCAAAAAAATGACAAATAATCAGAAAGTTTTGCTTCAAAAAATAAACTGAATGCAAAAGAAGCTGTGATGAAAACAATTAGGGACAAAAAAAATTATAAGGAATATAGAAAACAAATAGCAAAATGATAGAAATAAGTCCTTTCTTATCAGTGACAATATTTTTCTAAATGTAATGGATTAAACTCAAACAAAAGACAATTGGTAGCAAGAGTTAAAAAAACATAATCCAGGGGCCAGTAGGTGGCACGGTGGTTAAGAGCACTGGAATCCCATGTGGCCAACCACTGTTCAAGTCCTGGACATGGCAGCTTGCTTTCTCATCTTCCACCTCTCTTTCGCTCTGTCCCTGTCTGGTCAGATTACCTATCTTGTCAAATTAAAATAAAAAAATAAAGTTAAATAAAATAATTATTAAAAATAAAAACAACATAATCCAACTATATGCTGTTTAAGAGACTCACGTCAGATCCAGACACAGATAAGTCGAAAGTGACAGCTTGCAAAAAAAAAAAAAATCCTATGCAAATAATAACCAAAAAGGAGCAGGGGCTATCCTAATAACAGACAATAGAGATTTAAATCAAAAAAGGGTATGAGACAACCAAGATATTATATATTAATAAAAGGCTCAATATAGCAAGACCATATGACAATTGTAAACATTTATATACCAAATAACCAACATATATAAAAAATCAAAAACTGACAGATTTGAAGGGCAAAATAGTTCTACATTAATAGAGGGAGACATTGGGACCAGCAGTTAGCGTAATGGCTATGTCACTGGACTACCACGTAGTAGACCGTGGTTCGAGTTCCAGACCCAGTGGCTTAAAACACATGCCGGGCACGTGTGCGTGCATGCCCAAGATCCCAAGAGGAGAATGGAGGAGAAGGGATTGCAGCATGACCATCCCCCCTGGGGGGTGATTTCTCGCTTTCTGTCTCTGTCTCTCTCTGTCTGGCGAGCGCACACGCCCTATAGCAAA